ACAGTCCACCACTATAAGAAGCCTAGTCTTGAAAACATCATACATATAATATACAGTCCACCACTATAAAAAACTTAGTATTGTTAACATCATACATATAATATACAGTCCACCACTATAAGAAGCCTAGTCTTGAAAACATCATACATATAATATACAGTCCACCACTATAAAAAACTTAGTATTGTTAACATCATACATATAATATACAGTCCACCACTATAAGAAGCCTAGTCTTGAAAACATCATACATATAATATACAGTCCACCACTACAAAAAACTTAGTATTGTTCTTTTGATTTGACTTAGTCCAGGGTTATTGATGAGGGTTGGAATCCCCAGAACTGGTATAACTCAGTGACAAGTGGTGAATCAAATGATAGATTAGGCCTCACATTCAGTTTTAGGTTCTTTTGTGTAACTGACCTGTGCTACGTGTATCTTAACTGTCTAAGATTTGAGCTTTTAAAAATATAAAGTTTCACTAAAATTAGAACTCTCCTAGAAATAAAAAGATTGCCAAAATCACTATCCTATAGTGAAAAATTGTTTTCAAAATTAGCTTACAATTTAGCAAAATTGTCAAAATAAAAAAATACCTTTTTTCAAAGCCATCAAGTTTTAAAACTATTTACTAGGAAGGTAAGATTGTCTTAAAAAAAAACGTTTTTCTGAAATGTGGAGTTTAATACCCTACTTGTCCCAAGGTGACTCAATAGTTATAGTAAAATTATGATGTTAATCTCTGACTAAACAAAATTATAAAGTATTAAAACTGAATATCTGGAATTGTCCCTTGAACTTTCACAAACATCCATACTAACCTTTAAACCTTTGGCACGACTGATAGCTCTGAGTGGTCGTAGTACTCTCAGCACCCGAAGAATTTTAACCACAGAGATTGCATCATTACTTGAAGGAAAAAAAAATATATATAGCAAATGTTAATACAGAACTGGAAGTTAATATAGTTAATATAATAATAGTAGCAGAATATAGACTTTATGGAGGGGAACTCTTTACATCTTAACCTTCTCTGTACTTTTAATCCACACAACAAATAAACACATGTATTTATATGTGCACATGCAAGTGTAATAAGCTTCCCTTACATAACACTTATACAGAAATATTATTCAGATAAAAAAATATTTTGGTGATACTGTTTTTATTTTATTTTGCTGAACATTTACCAGCATTTACATTACAAATTGCCACCATTTTCCAAGTTTATCATATCCTTATATTTTACTATCTTTTTTTAAACTTTAAAATTATTAGACAGTTTGTAATGTTTGATTGTTCATTATTAAACACAAAGCTACACAATGAGCTATATGAGCTGTGCCCACTACAAGTATAAAAAAAACTTATTTTTTTAACAATTTAAGCCTATAGACTTACCGTTAAGCAACCAGAGGTCTGTGTTTATAAGGAAACATTGTTTTGGATTGTATGGGAGCCACAACATGTTTGAAGTTTTACAGCATATGGGAGCAACCACATTTTTGAGGGTTTTTATGGAATATGAAAGCTACCACATATTTGAAGTTTTTTACAGTATGTTTGAGGTTAGTACAGCATATGAGAGCTACCACTTGTCTGAGGTTTATACATGGTAAGGAAGCTACCCCATGTTTGAGTATTTTACAATGTATAAGAGCTACCACATGTTTGGAGTTTTTTTTTGCAATGTATGGGACTTACCATATGTTCTTAGGATATTAAAAACAAGGGATCAAATCCCAAGTTTTAGAATTACAATTCTTCAAGTGTGTTAGCTAATGTTGCTGTTGAGTTTACTGGTAGTAACTAGTGTTATTGTGGATTTTACTAGTGTTAGTTAATGTTACTGTTGAGTGTACTAGTAGTGACTAGTGTTATTGTCGAGTTTACTGGTAGTTACTAGTGTTATTGTGGATCTGTTACTGTCAACTTTACTAGTGTTACTGTCGAGTGTAATAGTAGTGACTAGTGTTACTGTCGAGTTTACTGGTAGTTACTAGTGTTATTGTGGATCTGTTACTGTCAACTTTACTAGTGTTACTGTCGAGTGTACTAGTAGTGACTAGTGTTACTGTCGAGTTTACTGGTAGTTACTAGTGTTATTGTGGATCTGTTACTGTCAACTTTACTAGTGTTACTGTCGAGTGTACTATTTGTGACTAGTGTTATTGTGGATATTTGGCCATATTGAAAGCCATCTTTTAAAGGAAATCCATGTAAAACTTCACAATTGGAAATGTTACAAAGATGACATATTTTTCATTTGGAAAGCCACTTTTAAATCACTTAAAGACTTTATTTCTTGTGCTAACACTTTTTACAAAACAATCAAGTTTACCTTTGATTACTCCCCTACCCAAATTAACTTCCTCAGCATCACTGTTTCTTTATATGATGAAATTTTACACACTACACATTGATGTCAAGCTCTCTCAATGAAAACAATTTGTTATGATGAAATTTTACACACTACACACTGATGTTAAGCCCTCTCAATGAAAACAAATAGTTATGATGAAATTTTACACACTACACATTGATGTCAAGCTCTCTCAATGAAAACAATTTGTTATGATGAAATTTTACACACTACACACTGATGTTAAGCCCT